GTATAAAAAAAGTGGCAACCCTACTAAAAAAATAAAACATTATTGAACATCTCACTTTTTGTAATTTAACGCAAGTAAGTTTTTAGACAGGTGGCAACCCTATAGAAATGTTAAGCACTAAAGATAATACCCCTATCGATACAGAATATATAAAACAAAATCTCATCCAAATCCGTTCAGTAGCTTTCGAGATTAGCGTAGCCAAAAAATCTTGGCTTTGCTACTCAAAAATTAAATTTTTTGTAATGCGAAAGTCATGCACTTTCATCTGGTATCTAATTTTATTATCCAACGAACGGTGAAGATCTTATATTCTTAAAACAGGCAGCAACCCTACTCAGAAAAATAATACATTATTACACATCTAGAGGTCAAGTTTTTTCATTTGACAATGGTGTTGCAGAACTGATGCCTGCGCTTATTAGGATTGAATCTAGTGGTAGGTGGTAACCCTATTCAAAAAATAAGACATTCGTGCTATTCTATAGGTCAATCGATTTCATTTGACACCTCATTTTTTGTAATCCAACGGTGCGGATCTTATGGTTCTTAAGACAGGTGGCAACCCAAGTAAAATTCTAAATAAAAAAGTCGCTTTCCTATACAGGGTATATTTTGGAAAACCTCGTCAAAATCCGTTTAGTTGTTTTCGAGATTACCGCGTACAAAGAATCTCGACTTTCCTTTATATTATATCGAGCCCTAACCGCTAAAATAACGTAAGCGACATTTTTTTGGAAATTTTCTTTTTGATGCAGAAATATTCCTAGAGCATCTAGATGCATTTCTGCAGCAAAAAGAAAATTTTGAAAAAAATGTCGCTTGCGTTATTTTGGCGGTTAGGGCTCGATATATAGATGTTTTTTAGTAATGAACAGTATATAGTATTTGTTTCCAATAAATAAATGTTTTTGGCTTCAACATTTTCTAAGTTTTTGGCCGAGCTTCTCCTCCAATTCGTGTTCTACTGCTTGATGTTGTGGCACAAATGGAGAAATCTTCACTTTTGTTCCCCCTCTATAGAAGGAAGAAGTACGCTCGGGGGTTTGACGCCGACTGCTCTTTGACACGATGGTTTTCCAGAGCTTCCTTTGACAACTTTCAGGTGCACAATGAAGATAGCTGAGGCCAAGGGCACTTTCACCCTTTGTAGACTTACGAATCTTGGGAGCGGACCCGAAGGAGGCGAGCTCGCGCCACCTTAGACGAAATCCAACCGAGTTCCGAGGAGCGTAGTACCCCTTTGGCCTACTCAAGACTCATAGAAAGCTTCTTAGGTAGCTGAGAAAAATCTTGGCCGCCGATGCGTTCCAAAATCTTTGGTAATAATGCCACGAATGGGCCGAGACTTTCGTTTAGGCATATTTGAAAACTTTTTAGGTGCAACCCTCATTTAGTAAGAGAATAACAACCCGCGTGCATGCTGAGTCTGATTTCGTAACCTAGTGCGACCAGCCATTCCAATGAAGTTCGATTCCGAATCTACTTCTCTCTCAGTGTGAGACATGCGTTCGGATGAAGCAACCGCTAATTTTTTAATCAGTTATTAACTCGACTTACCAGCTTTGATTCCGTAGAAAAACTCACTTCCATAAATGGGAAAAAGCTCGCAACAAGTTTGGATTCTCTGCATAGTAGGTGTATGTTTATTCTTTTGGATGTATATATGTAGGTATGTTCATACACCCTCATACATAACTATTCACAGTGCATTAGCTAACGAAGAGATGCAGATATCAGCGAGTTAAATTTACCATTTAGCTATAGGCTAAGTTTTGTGGTTATGACAATCTATAAATGAGCAGATAAAGGAGAAGGCCACTTGAAAAAAATGAGCAAGAATTGCGGTAAATGAAAGAAGAAAAGTGAAACAAATAAGCGTCGAACAAAAGAGCAATAAAACAACAACAAAGGATTAAATAAAAAATAAAAATGCAAGTTGCACTCTCTGAAATGGGAAGCAGTACCATAAAACAGCGAAATGGCAAACAAAGCGGTCGGAATAACGAAATGAACAAAGGAAGAATTTGAGCATAAGGAGCATGAGAACACAAGAGCTGTATGCAACTTTTCCATAAAGTCAATGGAAAGTAAAAAATTCATTTGCTACGCAGATACGTACATAAATATGTACTTACATACATGCATACATAAATGAGAAGAAAATTAAAAAAGTACAACTATGAAACGCTAGTGCGGAAGTTCCAATTACATTTGAAAGCGACACATAACTTCCGATGACTTCCAATTGCGGCAGCTGAATAGCTGCCTACATAAATATGTACCCAATAAACATCAAAACGAGGTCGACATTGTATCGAATTCGAGACGAACTCGAGAAAATTAATTTCTCGAATATATTTTTTTGGGGGCATGTTTCTTGCATCGTCTTCGCGGCACAATTAAGAAAATAATTTATGAGTCACCTAAATAAATTTTTTTCAAAACAAGATTTGGTAACTCTTACCAAATGGTGTGTGGAGAGAAATATATTTATTTTCTGAGTATAAGGGCGTGCTTGACGTGGCTGATGACATAAATGGCTGTGAATGAATCGCCAGCGATTCGAAGAAAAAAATTTCTTGAAACGCCAACGATTCGCAAAACTCGTAATACTCGTTTCGCTAACGATAGGTGAATCTCCTACGAATTCGAATTCGCCGATCTATCGCCGCGAAGTATCGTCTCGATAGTTCTCGAATTCGAGGAGAATTCGTTGTGTTTCTTGGGTATTTATGTATGTAAATACATATATACCATCTGCAGGGTTGCCAGGCGTCAATTGGTGGTAAGCGTGCTACCGGCTTTTTCGTCTCAGCACGCTGCTGCTCACTTTTGTTAGCCAGCCAGCCAGCCAGCTTCCTGCCATGCTGGGAACAACAATAATTGTGCTAGCAGTCTGTGAATAATATTTTTTCTCTAATGGCGGCAACGTTGACTAAACGGTTGACATTACAGCTGCCGTCCCTTTGCACGCTATTCTCTCCTAACTAACTAACAGATGCATACATACATGGGAGGGAGGGTTGTGGGAGGAACGCTTTGTTGCATGCGAACGACAATGATGAAGTGGTGAAATGATAATAAAAAGGACTAAAGTCAAGAGGGAACAAGTTGGTGGGCGTTAGTTGGCGCAACTTTGAGCAATGACGGAGTATGACAGGAGGAAATATTTTTTTTTTTAATCTTTGAAAAGCTAGTGACACAATGAAACAAATTTAGAAATGACATGCCACGAAAAAAATAAAGTAAAGGTTAGGTGAACATTTAAAAGATAAAAAAGCTAGCTTGCTCTCAATAATCTTACCCTCTCTATCTCATTCATTGCTTGCATACGTATTGTGCAGTATTGTAATGTTTTTTCAAGGTACACTCGTTTCAATGAGAGCTGCTTCAAATTGAATTTGTGGTATTTTATTTTTCTTCAGGCTTTTGCAGCCATTTACTTTAATATATAATGATCTCCCCTCTTTGGCTTCATACATAAATATGTACATATCTATGTATACTAAAAGCATTTGATTTTATAGCTTTTGTGCCTTGAAATAATAATAGCACAATATTAATGTTGAATGTATTCGGCATAATCATAATGAATGAATTTCTGACCCACATAGCCTACAAAGTACATCGCAGTTAAGTATGATTAGTTATTTTTTTTGTTTGTTTTTTTTTCCAAAGTCAAACCCAACTATGCATTATTATGATGAACCAGACTTTGTGTCGCACGGACCGACTGCTCGCGTTGCTTCGAGGTATTATTTAATTAGATTGAAAATGAATTAGAAACGGAAGCTAGCTGAATCCGTTGTGTTAGTTAATTGTGATACGCATACTTAGCTTTTGCTTATTTAGTTTAATGTAATAATGAGGTAATTATATAAAATCAGTAATGGTATGAATCATGCTGCACATCAAATCGGCAATAATGGCTTGGGAGCACTATTTTAACCTAGGGCTTAATCTTTGTTCATGAGATAAGATTAAATAAACGTTTAAGCAGAAAATTGCAGTCATGTATAAATTCTCTGGTGCAGTCAAATTAAAGCAAAAAATTTTTAATCTGTCGTTTGAAGCTTTGCTTTAAATTCTTTCTAAATACTGTGGGTCCCGTCGCACAGAGTATAAAAATAGAATTGCGAAACTCTGAGCGTTATGGAATCGCTGCGCAAATAAGTGTGGACAATACCTCCTCAACTAAAATATGCAACAACAATCGGCTTTTGTACAAAATGTTATTTGACAGATTTTTTTCTTCGGCAAAGTAGTACATAATATGCAACTATAGATGAACGAATAGAAATACTCCGCTCTGTGGCATGTGCTTCGGATCATGGGAAACTGTAGAGAATGATTTGTCAGGTGATGTTTATGCGTCGCATAGCAGTTATAGTGAAAGATACTCCGCTATACTCAGCTTTTGGATCATCAAAACTGGTTCCCTCGCGCGAGCACGATTTGATCTAGTAAATCTGAGTATGAGACGTTGTTCTTATGGCCAACAGCTATCAGATCTGATAATATGCGCACTCTAGGTTTTAGGTATTGTATTATTATTGAATGTGCTTTTGTAAGAAGCATCGAGTCTTATTTGAACAGCGCCTGTACTTGTCTGCCTTACCGAAATATCAACAAAGCACGAGTCGATTACAAATATCGGGAGTCGCACGAAGAATCATAACATTTGCACTGAAAAATGATATCTCTCTTCTGCACTAATTTCTTGATTTTATAACACCTTAGTTAATGTTGTGACCTGCAGTGATGTGAAGCTAAAACGGTCTTTTCTGTAAAAAATTATAAATTTATAATAATTTTAATATAAAACTCATCACAACCTTTCACTAACTAGATAGATTTTTTAAATTTATTAATAAAAAAATCATTGAATTTAAGTCTACGAAGTGCTTTATTAAAATATAGTATAAAATATCTACATATTTGCTTATGGAACATACCGAGCCCTAACCACCAAAAGGATGTAAGCGACATTTTTTTGAAATTTTTTTTATGCAGAAATGCATCAGATGCTCTCAGAACATTTCTTCATCAAATTAAATTTTGTAAACCATGGCGCTTACGTCTTTTTGGCTTTTTGGCGGTTAGTGCCACATAATGAATTTTTTAACAAGCTATAAAAACTAGAACAAATAACAACCCGCCCTTAAAATCGTTAAAATCGAATTTCACCTCTATTTATCTTTTCAAAATTTTCACTAGTAAGTATCTCGTACCTTCCGGATGCCGTTTGATAATAGAGTGCATCCTGAATAATATTTGGATTGTATCCTTCCTTTTGCAGATCAACTTTGCGCAATTTACACGTGCCAGTTAGATCTACTTTAGTTAAAAATCTTATAAACTGTGGTCTAGCATATGTCGGCAGTACTTTTGCTATATCCTGTGTGAAACGTGCAAGGTCTACTTCCCGCTCTGGATCGTATATGGCTGCCATTCCGGCACGTCCTTCCGTGTTTGGTATCGCAACACCATAAACAATTGTATCTTTATAGCTGGCAACATTACTCACTTGTGCCTCCACCTCACTAGTGGATACGTTCTCTCCCTTCCAACGAAATGTGTCGCCCGTGCGATCCATAAAGAAAAGGTAACCTCGTTCATCGGACGTCAACAAATCGCCCGAGAGGAATGCCATATCCCCCTTTTTGAATAACGTCATGCGCAATTTTCTTTGTTGAAGCCCTCTCATCGGCATATCCGAGAAATTCCCGAGAAGGATTGCCTTTGATGATTTTGCCAATAAATACTCCACATTCGCCGGCTTCACAACGTTGACACAGTCCATCTTCGCCACGTATGGGCTCACCAGTATCCGGGTCAGCTTTTATTATAGAGATGGGATAAATTTGTGGTATAATACGGGAAATAAAACCAATGGCACCGACAGTATTGTCATTGTTCATAATATTGGCATTACCCTCTGTGGCACCGTAGAACTCGCCGACCTTGGGAATATTAAATCGTTCGACAAAACGAGGCCAAATTTGCGGCCGCAAGCCGTTGCCAAAGACCATACGAATTTTATGCTTGCGATCGTGCTCACATGGAGGTGTAGCCAGTATGTAACGTGCCATTTCCCCAATGTATTGCGCAATCTAGATATGTGTTGAAAAATAAATTAAGTGGAAATTAAAAAGGTTACATAAATATACATAATTAAAAATAAACTGAAAATACATCTTGCTCCTTAAGGGACCCCGAATTGAAAGATTCGCTGTCCTCTTAATACCTCAATGGGAGACTAAAGTATACAACGACGGGAGCTCAATATTTAAAAAATTAATTCCCAACAAGGAGTATCCTTAGTTACTTGAAGCTTCAAAAACGTCTCACATTCCTTTTATCTCATACCATAACATCGACCAACAAGCGGCCTATGACCGTTAGAAATTCAAGGCATTAATCGAAAAATAAAAAGAATCCGGGATTCTTGTCTAGGAGGTCCTGAGATCAAAGGATCACTGGTAGTTTTTCTACGACAATATTTTCCCCGGGACTTTTATAACATCGAAAAAAAATAACTGTTACTTTCGGTCCCTGTGTTAATAAAGTTATTTGATTTTCAGAGCTAGTGCCTGCAAAGGCGGAGATGGAAGTCTGGTAAGAATTTCGCAAAACTTACGTTGCTCCCTACAAGAACAAATTCGAAAGAACCGCTACGAGCTTTTAGAGGCCAAACGAGCTTTTAGACAATGCGAATTTGTGTCGTGGAAATTTTTCTATCTGACATCGGAAAGTGTAATAGGAGCAGCGAATCTAAATTACAGCGACACTACCATATTTATGACATAAAAATGAGAGACAAAAAACCTACTTTAAATTTATTATAGTTATTAAAAACGCAAAATTTTTCTTACTGTGCAATTAAATCGAACGCAGTCAGCAAAGTAACCAGATGCTGAGAACTTCTTTCGGATGGCGACGGTTGAGCCAAACAGCAACGCTTGTCCCATATTCATAACACCGCCAGCTGTGTGGTATAGTGGCAGAGGAGTATAATATATATCTTTATTCTTAAAATATAGTGCATAGTGAATACCAGCGGCAATAAATATGTATCTGGAAATAAGAAAAGCGTTTATGTATACATATGCTTGCTAGCTAGGCTAGGCTAGGTCGCGAGAAAGGTTTGTAATTAACCCTGGTTTCAAAGCTTATTTCGAATGAAAAGGAATATTTGAGTACTATTTGTATGATCATTATTGAATTACTAAATTTTTCAGTTTCTAACCGACTTAACTTTTGACTTATGCATTTTACCAAGATCCCTCTATGAGTCTCAATTTCTAAAAAAAGAAACGGATTTTATTTATTGTAGATATGTATATCTTATTGCGAGGAACGGCAGAGATTTTCATAATTGCAAAATATTTCCGAATTTAGCTACCACTCAAGTGTGGGTAATTACAAACTTTTTTCTTCTGAACAGCCATAACGGTAACCATAAGCCATAGCCATAACGGTAACGGTAACCACATTAACTATCATCGATTATAGGTACCATAACCACAAACAGCTGATTTTTCGTAGTCAACAATGTCGGTGTTGCCAGACGCGGAACAAGATGCGGAAAATGTGCAATATCGTCGTAGGATACTTGCGCAGAACTTCTTTCGCTATCACTAAATTAACACTAAATTCTGAAACCCCAAGAGCAGATTACAATAAAATATGTACATCAAATTAAAGGTAATAACTTTTGCCTTCTTAATAATATACACTTATTTTTTAGTATTTTTGGTTTAAAACTAAAATAAATCATATAAATTATGGACATCAGCAGAAAGATAAATTAATTGTCTTTATTTTGACATCGTTAGTTTTTGAATCGGTTACATAGTTCATAAGATATTAATATTTCAAAAATCAAAAACAAATTATTTTTTACCTTTTATTTATATCTCCGAGATATTTTTGCGCTAAATAATTTTGGTACAGTTGAAGTCAGCGTGAGAAGTTCTATCGAGCCACACTCCTCGTTTTTGCATAGCTAAATGGTTCACATTCTACACTTATGCCAATACTTTGGCTGTGAACAATATTTTTTTTTTTTAGAACGTCTGGCAACACGCACTTCAGATATCAGCTGATATGGTTATGGCGTAAAACCAAAATTCAATTGGTCTCTATGGCTATGGCGTTATGGTGTTACACCACTAATCGAATACAGTGTTGGCCATAAGGTTGGTTGGAATATCTGTTTTTTATGGTAATGGTTATGTCACCACTAATTTAAGCTTAATGAACACATTTATGTGCATATATTGGTATGTATTTTCCACCAGAGTAAATTTAAATTTGATTCCAAATCACACTTAATTNTTTTATGGTAATGGTTATGTCACCACTAATTTAAGCTTAATGAACACATTTATGTGCATATATTGGTATGTATTTTCCACCAGAGTAAATTTAAATTTGATTCCAAATCACACTTAATTGTGAAAATCTTCACATCACATACAAATGAAAGTGATATTGAATTGGCTGATATGTGAACACCTACATACAACGTACCTACATATNTGTGAAAATCTTCACATCACATACAAATGAAAGTGATATTGAATTGGCTGGTATGTGAACACCTACATACCACATACCTACATATGTAGGTATGTTATCAAATGACTTAAATTTTTCATATCATACAAACCTTGAATGAGAAATTACTGCTGCCTTTGGCAAACCCGTGGTGCCAGAGGTGTAAATATACATCAGCTTATCGTGGTGATTTGGATGTTGAGTGGAGTTGAAGGGTTGCGCTTTGTCATTTGCGGATGAGTGTAGTAGAGTTGCTAGGTCTTCGGCTGAGTTACGCACTGGTTTATTAATTTCATTATTGAATTGAAATAATTTCGCTGGAATATCACTCGCAATATTTGCAATCATATCATAGAAATCCTCGCCATATATGAGCGCAGCACATTTAGCCACCGTGATGCTGTGAAGCAACGACGGCCCCTTTAGGTTGGTGTTAATAAGGGCGGTTATAATACCACACTTTGAGAGACCCAACCAAATGCCAACATATTCAGCGCGATTCTCCAACATGAGGCCAACAACGTCACCCTTTTTATAGCCGTGACTGTGGAAGATTTCAGCGATACGATTGGAAAATTCACTCAGTTGCAGAAATGTCCATGACTGTGTTTCGCTGATTATGGCCACTTTATCAGGATGAGTCTCCACATTCCTTTGAAATATATCACCTATCGATAGGTTCTTGCGTTCATACTGCTTTATGAGTAGAAGCAGTCTTATATAAGACCACAACGCCCTTAAAAAAACAACGAAGCGAAAACGAAGAATTACTTACTTGTGTAAAATGTATGTAAATTTAAAAACAGAAAACAAGTATTTTTTAATAACTCACTTAGTATCACGCTTGGTTGTTACGGTAGCAATATAGAACCAACGCCATCCTAACATCACCAACATAACCGCAAATATGGCGGCGAACACTGCGGGCACGCCACACATCCAGCCAAAGAAATACCAAAGAAGCGCAACGAATGTTGCTGCGATGCTTATTGTGAGCACTAAAATAATTTCGTGTTGGGACTTGGCCTGCGTTCTGACAGCTGTTTGTTGCTGTGCTGTAGAATTCATACAGCCGTCTTTCTTGATGCCATTACTGCATCTCGCCGATGCATGGTCATCACCAATTTGGCTGGGCTGGTCCCTATCAACATCAATGGTAGTATGAGCTCCATCTGTGCTCTTTTCAGTTCTTTTAGGACTGCTTGGTTCTTCGCCAAGACAAGGACCTTGGTACCCCTCAATCGACTGTTGGTGACAGAAATAGATAAAAGGAAAGAAGACGTTTTAGTTCATACAATTTTTTATCATGTGTATTCCAAATTTTTTAATCTAAAATGGCGACGCTGGAAAAGTAATGACCCAAAAAAAAAAAGTTGCAAAAAATAAAAAAACTATAAAACGAGCCCAAAGGTAATGTTGCACTTTTAAAGTTTATTTATATTTTGTGCTCTTTTATAGTTCTTTTTTGTTTATTTTTTTTAATTTTTGTGGGTTTTATTACTTTGCCAGCGTCGCCATTTTAGATATATAATAACTTTAATAAAAAAACATTTTTTTTAGAGTTGCCACCTGTTTGAGAATTTTAATTAAATTTAATTTATAAAATAAATTGAATATGTATTGCAATGTGGGTATCAAACTGAACAGCTTTAGGAAATTTTACTGCCGAAAATATTTTTAGGGAGGGTTGCTACCTGCTTGAAAAATTTGATTGTATAAAATTGATAAAATAAATGAACTCTATATCTANTTTTTTTTAATTTTTGTGGGTTTTATTACTTTGCCAGCGTCGCCATTTTAGATATATAATAACTTTAATAAAAAAACATTTTTTTTAGAGTTGCCACCTGTTTGAGAATTTTAATTAAATTTAATTTATAAAATAAATTGAATATGTATTGCAATGTGGGTATCAAACTGAACAGCTTTAGGAAATTTTACTGCCGAAAATATTTTTAGGGAGGGTTGCTACCTGCTTGAAAAATTTGATTGTATAAAATTGATAAAATAAATACTAATAATAATAAATAATAAANATTTTTTTTAGAGTTGCCACCTGTTTGAGAATTTTAATTAAATTTAATTTATAAAATAAATTGAATATGTATTGCAATGTGGGTATCAAACTGAACAGCTTTAGGAAATTTTACTGCCGAAAATATTTTTAGGGAGGGTTGCTACCTGCTTGAAAAATTTGATTGTATAAAATTGATAAAATAAATGAACTCTATATCTATACTTATAATAAAATTGTAACAGGCCAATGTCTGTACCATATGGATATTAAAGAAAAATTAATAAGCGGTTTATTAGACCAACAGAAGCCAAATCTAAAATTTTTAAAATTTTGGTCTGTCTGTCTGTATGTTAGTAAGCGCATTATTAAATTAAATGCAGTTTTCACCAATATTCATATTGCTAGAGCTCTAATTGAAAATGTAGAATCCATTTGTTTTTTTTTTTGTTTTAGTTGATCGTGGATCATTATTCTTAGGTATTTGAACGTATTAACTTTTTCCAGTGCATCGTTATTTATATTTAGAGTTAGCAACGGATTGTTCTCAAAATTTCGCCTTGATATAACCACAAACTTAATTTTATTGACATTAAATCGCACTTTTTTGGAACTTCTGTGTGGAAGGGTTTTCCCTAAAATTTCAAAATTTTTGATGTTGTTGCCAAGAAATTAAGAAATCTGAGAGGTCACGCTTTACAATTTTATACATTTCTCTAAGGTTGTATAGTAACAAATAGTCAGTACTAATTTGTAGTGGAGCCTTCAAATTTTTACTGAAAAAGTGTATAAGAACCCAAAAAATTTGTAAGAGAGCCCCCAATCGAGAGCGTAATAACACGGGAGAGCTGTAAATTCTTGCTATTGAAATTTTTAGTTGTGTTCACCAACTTTTCTGGGTTAAAACCTGTAAAACTGCCAAAAGGCTTTCTGGTAAATTCCTGTAAATTCTTGCAATTTCTTTCGAGTGAGGGAACGCAACTTTTACTAGCAGAAATTAGCTAGCAGAAGACGAAGAAGAGTGAATGTCAAAAGCTGCCATTTGTTGGATTGGTTAAGCGTAAACAAAGGTAAATTAAGTGGAAATCAAATTTTTAATGATGTACTGGACTGATTAAGTGCTTGTGTGTAAAACAAAGAGTTTAAAACAGATTTATAAATAGTAGAATGTTTACAGCAGAATGTCAAAACACTGCAACAACTGTTCACTTGCAAGTTTTTACTAGTTTTGTGTTCAATAACTTTTTCTGCTAGTTTTCTTCTCTTCTCAATTTTACGTTCTATTTTACTGTTACGCTCTCGCTGCAATCTTTTACTGGAGAAGTTACTATACAAACCTAATGTATTTCACTACGCTACTAAACGGCTGCACCCAGGGGCGGCGAAACGCCCTGTGTCCGGGTGGGTAGTTCTGCTGGTAGCAAGAGTACACACGTAAAGAAAATAAGTTGTCGATGTAATTGAGAAGGTTTACCGGTTTCGTTAGAAAAACTTATTTGGGGTATTCACAACGGTGTCGTAATTTCGCACCCTGTATATTAAGAAACAAGACCCACACACAATTCGTTTTCGCGCAAAAATTGCACAACATCTTTCACCGATCCTGGATTTTGCTCTTTGCGCCTCAATATGCACAGAGCCATATCTTTATCGCTATTGAGTCTGCATTAGTCAAAATCACCATTATAAAACGAGACGATTTTCCTTAAATCTAATGTCTCACCAAGAAAGATATTTTCTAAAGTTTTATAAAACTTTGGCCATTCAATATCAAATTTACTTATCAGGGAGCAAATAACTTGGTCAAATATATCATCCGAAAATACTCTTCAGGATTTTCAATTGGACTTATTTTTCATCTAGAAAATTTGCAAGTGAGTAGTACTACCCACCATACCCACGTCTTCCGCCGTCCCTGACTGCACCGATTTGGTTCATATTTGGAACATATGCCAGCACCTTGAAAATAAATATTCCCACCAAAAATTTACTCGGTATGTAGCTCGGGATATTCCTAAAATTCTTATACAGACTAAAACGTAAAAAACCAATTTATCTCTAAAACCAATTACGCTGGGAAACTGAAGCTTAGCACTGATGCGTATATTGCAAGTGCATCGGAAAAGGCGGCGTGGCACCTTCCACAAAAACTGAACTTCTCATATAGCTTATCTCTGGAACCGCTTATACTAACGTCCTGAAATTCGACACATATGGTTATCAATACCGTGCCTATGGCGAAAAGTGGTAAGTAATGGAAAAGTAACTTTGCTTTTAATTTTTAGTAAAATGTAAAATTTATGTCAAAATTTTGAAGAATTTTTTAAAATTTTTCACAAAGAATGGAACTTTGATTTTACGAGTTACGCTATATAAAGAGCCACCAAATCATAATTTTTCATATCTGGACTAATATGACTATCTTATGAATTCCTGACGCGCTCGAGCAAATTTTTCCCCATCCTTGTTTGACCCTTCCGCACCACACCACCCATTATGCACATCTACAGTGTTAATTTGTGCCGTCTTCTGTCATCGCTATCAATATCTGTTGCGCTTGAGTATCTCCATGTATTCTGTTTTTACATTATTGAAAGCCGGGAGGGTCCCTCACCGATGCGATAGTTTTTCTTTCTACTCTCAAAATCCATTAAGTCCCCATCATCGCTTCGTGAGCTACCCTACTATTAAGTCGCGTAATTAGCGGCGATAAAGAAAACATGTCATTTCAATAATTAACTAGAACAGAGCTGCATATTTTTGTATTGGAGCGTTAAGACAAACAGGCTTTGAGTGCTTTTGGTTGCTTACACCGCGCTGCATTATCAATGCGTAGCCTACGATTTGCCCTTTTGCTAAGAAGCCATTGACTGCGCTAAAGCGAGCAATTTAGCATTTCGAATTATACAAATGCCGAATGCAAATACATACATACATACACTCATATGTGTATACATATATGTATTAATATACATACAATGCACACTGGTCCCAATTCAATGTTTTTTGGCAGAAATTAAACTAATGTACCCACGAAGTTGAAACTTGGCAAAGTCAATAGTCATAGCTAGAGATGGCAGCGATTAATCATTTGACTAAATTAATCGATTATTTTTGTCGAATTTACGATTTAATTATATCGTAGTTTGGTTTTTCGTTAATCGATTATTATTCGATTTTTTGTAAAATAATCGTAAAAATAATTTTAAGAAGTATGAATTCTGTTGTTGTCTGAAATCCATCCATCGAGCATTCCTTTTCGCTAGCTGCCATGGGCGTAGCCAGGTAGGGACAGGGGGCGGGGCAATCCAAACATACGACCAATGGATTCGTTGATCGACTGTGAGAGAGAACTCTTCAACAAACCGACATACGCGAGCAGTGGAGCTACATTTCCCGCTCATTACAGGTACGATGAGGAGTGTAAAGAAGCTGCAGAGAAAAATGCTTGAAATGCTGGCCGACGGAAAAAACAACCGAAATTTTTAGCTGAGAGTTGAGCGACTTACGGAAGATTTCAAGACTCCTGTAGAAACAACCATGACGACTTAGTGACCGACGTCCACAACGTTCTCAAATTATGTAGGGAACACTTTTCGACCCCCTTGAATAGCAGAAGCACTGAAAGAAGTGAAGAAGACAAACCCGAGTCAACAGTTGATGACGATGGAGTCGATATCCCAGCGCCTGACTTTGACGAGGTACGAATAACGATTATGCTGATGAAAAGTAACAAAGCTGCTTGAGCTGACGGCCTGCCAGCTGAGCTATTCAACTGAGATGGCAAGGAGCTATTAAGGTACATGCCCGACGACTGGAATTCAAGTGCGCTCTGCTCAATCCACAAGAAAGGCGACCCCGCCATGCGTGCCAACAACCGCGGGATCAGCCTTCTAAGCATAGGTTACAAGGTCTTATCGAGCGTATTGTGTCTGTATCTATCAATAAAAGAAATGCAAAAGAAAGAAATAAGAAATATGTATACTAGGGCGGAGTAATTTACTTTTGAAAAAGTGCACGGCATATTCGGATTCAACGTTCGATTCTAATAAGAAATGATGACCAAACTACATAGACGTATACCAAAATGACCATTGACCCTCCCAATTTTGAAAGGAAAAATCAGTGTATTATAATTTTTTCTGAACGAAATTAGTTTTCCATTTACAAAAATGTGTATGTTTCCTTTTACAATATACTGCACCTTCGTTTGAGAATTGGGAGGGTCAAA